TTTTCTGGCACCTCGGGCTGGTGTGTTGGGGTTATCCAGCGAGCTTTCCCATTTCTTGGCTTCGAAGACGGTAGGAATTGATCTGAATGGGTTAAAGTAACCGAAACAACAACAAAAACTCTTTTCGGCCAAGGCAGGGTGTCTTAGCACCGCAGCGTGATCTGGTTCATAGTGCTCACCCAGGAACCTCGCAGGTTTGGCGATTTGACCTTTTTTATTTGCAACTTAGGCACATACCGCTTTAATATTTTTGCTCAGCTACAATTATGTTAATACAGTAATGCAGTATAAGTTGTTAATTTTTTAAAATTTATTTTTCTATATAATTATTTTTAAAAGTATTTAAATAACTGATTAAAAAATATTAAAAAGTTTTTTTTTTTTTTTTTTTTTATATAGCCCAGAATTGCTGTTGAAATGCGTGTTCAGTTTTGGGTTATGCTCTTCTCTCTGGTATGTGATCACTCCCTAGACATTTAAAATATTAAATTATAACTGTGTTGTGAGGTCTTCAAGAGGGTGGATATAAAGGTGAGGTAATTATGTTCCCTCTTGAGGAGGCGCTCTTTAAGGACAAGAAGTATCTTTAATTGCATTTTTTTCTGATTTAAGAGAAGTTCATCTGCCAGAACTAACAGACGGGTCCCGCTGGCTCGAAGGGCGGAGGACGCAAGGGACTAGGCTGATCTCTTCTCCTCCGACTTCTATGACAACCGATGGAAGCGCGTGGTGTTTATCCAAGGGTGGGGTTCCGTGGGGTTGCAAAGCGTGCTGCTCCCTGCTATACCGCTGGATTCCTTTTTCTTCCTTCTGCCATTTCCCAAGAATCTGGCAGTTCGGTTTTGGGGCTGAGCTCGGTGGAAGCTCAACCGTACTTGTGTTAGTTCATACCAAACAAGGAGCTCTTCTGTGCATGGAACAGGAAGAACATTGAAATGTTTTTTTTTGGTTTTTTTTTTGTTTTTTTTTAGTGTTTCACATTTGAAGGTAAATAAAATGTTTTCTGATTTCTTTGCCGTCAAGTTAAATATTCTGAACGGAGTTTGGTTTTTTTTTAGTAAGTTTTAGGCAGAAGTATTAGTATTTGCTCTTTGTCCACAATGCCCACGGGCGCATCTCCACGTCAGGCGTGCAGAGCTCCGTGTGCCTCGGAGCTGTCGCATGTGTATAAATGTACTTGTGAGACAGCGTGCAGGATTTGTGCTGCTCTGAAATTTTACATGGTAAGTGGAAATTGAAAAAGGCCAGTAGATTTCTGCTGCTGATATTCTGTGAAGGTGCCAAAATGCCCTGTTTTGGTCTTGTTTTTAAGAATTACTTGCCGAAAGACTTGTGCTGATTTTCTTTATTTTTTGTGTCTATGTATAAACTTGGTGCATTGAACCTGACAAACGCTGGAGTGGAACGCAGTCTTTTTTGGGATATTTCAGTGAGTTCTGTTACTGAGCGGTACCGGCTCTGGCTGGGCCGGGGTTAACTGCCTTCGCAGCAGCCCGTGAGCTGGGTTTTGCATTTGTGGCTAAACCGGTGCTGGTTGCACACCAGCGTTTTGGCTGTCGTCGAACAGCGCTTGCACAGTGTCAAGGCTTTCCCCCCCAGTCACGTCCTGCTCGGCAGTAAAAACTGGGGTAGAGGAAGAAGAAAAGGGTGTTTTTTGGCTTCTGAGGTGGCTGTTGCTTGGAGCATGGCTGGGCACTGGTCTGCCTGTGGGAGGTGGTGAGTAATAATTCCCTTTGTTTGTGGTTTTTTTTCCCCTCCCCTCTTTCCTTCACCTGTTAGATTATCTTTGTCTAAACCCATGAGTTTTCTCACTTTTCTGCTTCCTTTTCTCCCCCGGTCCTGCTGGGGTGGGGAGCGGTGGGTGAGCGAGCGAGCGGCTCGGTGGGTGTTTGGCTGTTGGCCGGGGTCAACACACCACGATCCTTTACGGAGCTACGAGGGGGATTGAGAGAACGGCAGATTGATCGGAGCGTGCCAGACTGAATTCAGTGCTGTTTACCTGCTGCTTGGTAGGGCTTGGAAATGGCAGCTTTCAGCCTTTGCTGTTTACTGTGGTGTTTTGTTTTGCCTGGGAAACCTGTGATAAAAGCAGCGCTTTGAGCCCGGTCTGGTGTTTGGCCTCTGTATTGCTGTCGTCCCGCTACTCCGGGAACCGTCCCCTGGAGACAGCCAGCCATTACACCTTCCTCCCCTCCTCCGGGACAGATCCTGCCGGCCTCGTTGCCGTGGCCCCTTGGTTTCTTGAACATCCTGGCATAACCGAAATGTTCACAGCGGTGTTGATTTTGACTGTTGTTTGCGATGGTAGTAATAGCGTCCCCCTGCCACCAGTGCCCTGCACGTGCTGCCGCCTCATCAGACTCTGAATCCACTGATCCCAGTTCAGATCTTGGTGGATCCTCTGGTAACCGCCCAGCCGGGGATGGCAAACGGGAACGTGTCCTGCGGCAGCCGGCTGCTGGGTGGCACGGCGTGTGGGAGAATGCGGTGCCTGGAGCGGTTTTCACCTCCGACGGCCTGGGATATTTTTGCCTGAGCAGGCATGCAATCCTGCCGAAATGGCAGAGCAGCCGAACGGGGGATGCCTTGTCTCTGCCAAAAAGAGAGAGCGGCTTCTCGTGCCGTGTTGGGACCTGGCTTGCGCTTACCAGGCCTGTGTTCGGCACCCTCGAAGGAGCTGGAGGGTCGCTGGATCCGAGGAGAACACAAACGGACACCGCGGCTAAAGCGGAGGCTCAGTGCAGGCATCTCCTGTCGAGGATGAAGTGTCACCTCGAGGACGATCGGGTGGACTATGGTGGCAAGCGGACCGCCTCGTCTGTTACCCGAGGGAAGCGGTGGAGGTGGGCTGCAGCCGGGTCCGCAGGGGTCCGAATGACGTCCAGCGCACAGCGGCCGCGTGGCGGAGGTTGGTATCGAACACGCTGTCTGTGCGACTGTGGGGAGCACGTGAGGAAGCGGGGTGGTCTGCCGTCGTGGACCTAGATGCTGCCTGTGTGAATTGTGGGGGGAAAAAAGCAGCTGAAAAGGGTCCATCCAGGAGGACTGCTGCTCCGGGTGCTGACAGGCATTTCCCGGGATGCAGCAGAAAGGCTGAGGATGCCTCCCCTCCTCCTGATCTTGATGAAGGGACGTCTGGTCTGCTATGGCAGGAGTCAGATAATGAGTGCTCCGACCAGGAATAGGGTGGCTTTGTCTCTGGCCAGGCGGAGGAAAGGGACGACGGGCTCGACCGGATGGTGTGGATTCGATGGCCTGGCACATCGGACGCGCGGGAGCACAAGGCTCTGGTGAACTCTGGTGCGCAGGGTACCCCAGCGCCATCAGCGTGTAAGGGTGGAACCTGTCTGGATTTCGGGGACGATTCACCCTGTAGTCGTCCCACATGGCAGCACCAAAGTCTGATGGAGGGTGGAGGCTGGAGGTGGACTGTCGCGGTCACGCTGCTGTGCTGGGCATGCCGCACTCCGGTACGAGCGGGAGCCCAAGGCGGCCGGGTGGCATGGCACAACCGGTGCTGCCCACGCGTGCTCCGTCCCTTGGGCAGCAGAGTGCAGGGCACAGGCTGCTTGCATGTCGAGGGGCGTCCCTGCAGCTGGAGCTGCCTGCCCCGGGTGGAAACGCAGCCCTCCCTTTTGCCATGGACCGATACAGGCGGCACTGGAACAGGGTGAAGCCCCTGAACACCCGCCGTATGCTGACAGCATCGTTGTGTTGGGCAACACAGCGGAGGAAATGTTGGAGAAGGGAAAAGAATAATCCAGGTCCTTCCGAAGGCTGGTTTTGCCGTCAAAGAAAGCAAGATCAAGGGGCCTGCAAAAGGGATCCAGTTCTTGGAACGGAAGTGGAAAGATGGATGTCGTCATGTCCCTATGGATGTGGTCAGTACCGTAACAGCCACATCCCCACCAGCTAACAAAAAAGAAACAGCAGCTTTCCTAGGCGTTGTGGGTTTCTAGAGAGTGTGTTCTGGGTTGCAGTCGGTTTGTGGGTCCTCTCTGTTGAGTAACCTGAAAGAAGAACTGTTTCAAGCGGGGCCTTGCGGCAGGCCGTCAAACAGACCCAGCAGGAGAGAGGTGGTGCGGTCGCCCTTGGGCCGGGCCGGACAGGACCGGCCGCGAGGAGAGGAGCGTGCCCTGCCCCACATGCTCTGACCCGAGGCCACCTCCAGGATTTGGGAATATTTCAGTGAGCGATGTCACTGAGTTGTGCTGGGTCCGGCTGGGGGGAGCGTGGTGCCGTGTTCTGGGCGCGTGGCTGCACCAGCGGAGGTAGGCACCGACGGTTTGGCTCTTGCTGGGCAGTGCTTGCACAGCGTCACGCTTTTCTTCCCGCTCCCCCTCCCCGACGGGCCAGAGGCTGGGAGGGGACACAGCTGGGACAGCTGACCCGAACGGGCCAGAGAGCTGTCCCAAACTGTGTACGTCTTGCTTGGCAGTAAAAACTGAGGTAGAGGAAGAAGAAAAGGGTGTTTTTGATTTCCAGGGTCCTGTGCTCGTTGAGCCTGGCTGAGCATCCCTCTGCTGGGGGGAGGAGGTGAGCGATTGCCTCTGCTTTGCTCCTGTTTCCCCCTGGTCCGTCCCCCCCTCTGGGACCGGTGTCTAAAGACCTGTTAGACTGCCTTTATTTTAACCCATTTCTTGCTTTTGCTCTTCCCATTCTCTCCCCGTCCCGCGCAGGTGGGGAGTGAGCGAGTGGCACGCAGTGCTTGGCCGCTGGCTGGGCTCAGCCCACCGCATCAGTACGTATTGTATTTTGTTGACATTTAGGAAACTTGAGCTGCTTCTACTTTTTTCTAGGTGCTTTCATCTTTGAGATATAGCTGTGTGTCCTGGTTTCAGCTGGGATAGAGTTAATTTTCTACCTAGTAGCTGGCATAGTGCTGTGGGTTGGATTTAGGATGAGAATAACCTTGATAATGCACTGATGTTTTAGTTGGGCAAGAGGCTGGGAGGGGACACAGCTGGGACAGCCGACCCGAAGATGTTCCCTGCCGTGTAATGCCACGCTCAGCGGTAGAAGTGGGGTGGAGGAAGAAAGAGGAGAGTTTTGGCTTCCAAGGTGGCTGTGGCTTGGAGCCCGGCTGGGCACTGGTCCGCCGGCAGGAGGTGGTGAGTGATAGCCTTTGCTTGGCTCCCCTGTCTCGCTGTTCAGACCGTCCCAGTCTCATCCCATGAGCTTTATCGCTTTTCCTCGCCCTGTCCCGCTGGGGAGGGGGTGCCTGGCTGCTGCCCGGGATCAGCCCTCTGCGTGTTTAAAGTCACGCTGCCGTCACTGCAAACAGCGGGACCCCCTGCGCTTCCTGGGCTTCCCATCGCTCTGGCTTTGTGGCCTGCAGATGTTGGCTAGGGGCGACTATGTGATTAGCCATAGTATCGGTCTCTGCGGTATGCCTGGGTTCCCAAGGTGCGATTATACTGAAATGCAGTCTTTACTTGACTGCTGTGTCATTAGCACATACCCAGAAAGTTCAGTACCATTTATAGAGACAAATCAGCAGAAAATTACCCTTTCAATGACTGCACAAGACAGAAAAGCCTCCTCTTGTGACTAGAGAGAGCAGCTTCCACAGTCTTGGCAGGTCTCATTGCCAAACCTGTAGCTTAAGCCTCCTGTTTTGTTTGTGATTGATCTTTTGTATTGTGCAGCTGACTTAGAGGTGTTTCTGTTGATAGACAGCTGACCACTGAAACAGTACAGCTTCAAGACGGAGGTACCATTTTTTCACCTTCAGCGCCGAGCGCTTGAACTCGGCGGTATGGCTGCTCAGTGCTGCGTTTCCCTTTCCCCGCTTGCAGGACTTCTCATATTTGCTTCAAATCTGCTGGTACCCACTGCTTTTGACTGTTGCTTCCTCTACCTGTAAGAGAGGACTTTTCTACATATTTTTGTTAGCGTGCCTCCAGATTGGTTTAGTGAATTGTCAGCTTTGTTAACATCCCTCTGGGTCCCTTAGGCTAGGTGGCATTAGCTTTGCACAAAGAGGCTCTGCAAGCAGGCTAGTTTCGAAATACAAACCAAGTATTTATTGCTAAACGTGCCCTAAGGCTGGTGGGATTTAACAGGCTGCCGCTCTGAGCATTAGCTAATAAGCATTAGCTGCTCCCAGCAGGACAGCCACAGGGTGTTTGCTGACCACATGGGCATGGGGAAGGGCTCCTCAGGGTTGTTAGGTCGCTGTCATCCACTGATGCCATCCATCCATCACCACCACCCTGCTTTTTTTTCTTTAGGATTTTTTTTTACCGTTCTCAGCTGGTGTTTTTCCTATTGAATCCTGGAGCTGGAAATGGCGCCTGTCTGTCTCTGCCTGTAATCCCACCCCCCCAAGCCTTTTTTTAATCAATCTCTCCAGACTTTACCCGAACTCTTTCCTACAGCTCTAGCGGCTTTCTCTGCAGCCTGGCCAAGGTTGTGCAGCTGGGCTGCACCAGAGTTGGACCTTGCATCCTCAAAACACAGGCAGCTGGACCTCTGGAGAGGGAGGAAGGTTATAGGGAGAGAGGGTAAAAGCTTATTCTAGCTGTGTCCTTGAACCAGGGAAGGCGCGAGACCATCCTGTACTCACCTTGTGAGCAAATGCTGTCGCTAAGGCCCTCCAGCGTGTAAGCAGGTAGTCAGAGCTTTTAATTTATGTGTCCATATTGGGAAGCTTTGCAAAACGGACTGATGAAGTTGAAGGAAAAGCGAGAAGGGTATCGTTTGGCTTTCCTGTGATACTCTGAAATTTTAAGTTTCAAGGACTAACTGTTCCAGGAGTCAGGTGAGGACAGTGGTCTTTGGGGAATTCCACCTATTTTTCATTCACTTAGGATCAAGCATCAGCAAGGTGCTTGGTCCCTGCTGTAAGACTAGGCAGGGTGTCACTGCACCACCGTCCTGGCTTCAGCTGGGACAGAGTTAATTTTCTTTCTAGTAGCTGGCATAGTGCTGTGGGTCGGAATCATAGAATTGCTAAGGTTGGAAAAGACCCTTGAGATCATCCAGTCCAACCGTTAACCCAGCGCTGCCAAGGCCACCACTAACCCATGTCCCTCAGCACCACATCTCCCTGGCTTTTAAATCCCCCCAGGGATGGGGACTCAGCCCCTGCCCTGGGCAGCCTGGGCCAGGGCCTGGATTTAGGGTGAGAATAACATTGATAACACACTGGTGGTTTAGTGGTTGCTAAGCAGTGCCTACACCAGTCAGGGGCTTTTCAGCTTCCCCTGCTCTGCCCGGTGCAGAAGGAGCTGGGAGGGGGCACAGCCAGGAGAGCTGGCCCCGACTGGCCCAAGAGTTATTCCATACCATATGACATCATACCCAGTATATGAACTGGGGAGCTGGCCATGGGGTGGTGACCGCTGCTTGGGGATGGGCTGGGCATCAGTCAGCGGGTGGTGAGCAATTGCATCACTTGTTTTCCCTGGGTTTTGTTCCTCTCTCTCTCTCTTTTCTGTTGTTTTCCTATTATTATTTTAATTATTAAACCATTCTTACCTCAACCCATGAGTTTCCTTACTTTTGCCCTTCCAATTCTCTCCCCCATCCCAGCGGAGGGAGGGTGAGCGAGCGGCTCTGTAGGGCTTGGTTGCTGGCTGGGGTTAAACCAGGACAACCAGAAAAAGCAGTCTGGAGGATCTCAGATGCACCCCAGACGAAGCTGCTTTTGAAGAGGAAGGTGAGAATCTAGCCTTAAATGTCCAGACCATTGTTTCCTTGGTCTTGGCATCACTTTATCTCTCAACTGTCACTTCCAGCATTTCTTTTGAAAGGTCAGGCACCAGACCCTGCTATTGCGCGGTTGCCGCTGTACGACGCTCGCCTGGATGTCAGGAGAGAATCTGAGCACGCGACTTCCCGGTGGAGGAATGCAGTTTAAACGTTTGGCCTCTGTTTCCTACGACTTCAGGTGTAGTTAGGGCCAGGTGACAAGGAAACTAGTGTCTTTGATGTGCTCAAATATATTTGTGTTAATGTGGACCTGAGTAAAGTCCTGAATGTTTGGCTGCAGATAGGTTTCAGAGCCATTAAGGACTGTACTGCACAAGTACGGATCTTTGAAAACCTCGCCTTCAGGGTTCCTTTGTACTTATGTTTTGAAGTCTTTCATGGACTAGCCTTTTGATCACAGAAATCACAAAACTGTCTTTTGTATTTCTTCAATTATTAATATTGATGGAGAACCTAACAGTTTTAGTTTGTGAGATAAAGTCTTAGTATCCGTCCTCTTCTTTTCCTGACCCAGGAAGGTAGCGTTAGATGCTAGTGCCACGTCTCTTCTGTTTCCCTGAGGAGACTGTTTTTGGTGTGTGTCTTCCGACACCACGGTGGCTGAGAAAGTGGCTCTCATGGTCCTGTTTGTTAAGGAGCATCTGCTTCCGAGGCTGTTTGTTTTTGGCGTTTTTGGAGGGTACGTGTCGTGGTGTAACCCCAGCCGGCCGCTGAGCCCCACCCAGCCGCTCGCTTGCTCCCCCCTGGCGGGACGGGGGAGAGAATCGGAAGGGTACAAGTGAGGAAACTCGTGGGTTGAGACAAAGACACTTTAATAGGGAAAGCAAAAGCTGCGCACGTGAGCAAAGCAAGGAATTCATTCCCTCCTTCCCATCGGCAGGCAGGTGCTCAGCCATCCCCAGGACAGCAGGGCTCCATCATGCGTAACGGTGACTTGGGAAGACAAACGCCATCGCTCTGAATGTCCCCCCTTCCTTCTGCTTCCCCCAGCTTTATGTGCCGAGCATGACGCCATACGGTGTGGGACAGCGCGGGGGGCAGCTGTCCTGGCCGCGTCCCCTCCCAGCGCCTTGTGCCCCCAGCCTGCTCGCTGCTGGGGTGAGGAGCAGAAAAGGCCTTGACTGCGTGTAAGCACTGCTCAGCGATGACAAAAACATCTCTCTGTTATCAACGCTGTTCCAGCACAAATCCAGAACGCAGCCCCATAGCGGCTCCGGTGAAGAAAACGACCTCCAGCCCCGCCCAGCCCGGCACAGTGAGCTCGCAGGCCCGGTGTTAGCGTGTCCTGAGCAGACTGCAGCGTTCTGTTTGTTGATTCTGCAAAAAGTCTCTGTTTGACTGTTTTATTCAATCAGTGTTGCTTAACACCTCAGGTAAGATGACATTGCAGCCTTTAGACTGTTAACTGAAGAAAGTTTCAGGACTCAGGAGAAAGTACGTTAACTTACAGCACGGACTGTGGCATCGGGTATTGGTTACTGTTGAACACAGGATACTGCACCGCTGTTCTACTTCAGTAAGGCTATTTTTATGTTTTTAGGATCCAAGATGGAAGACGTTTTTTCCTCATTTTGGAGTACTGTTGCTAAAACAAAGTGGGAAAAAGTTATCCTCAATTTTAGTTTAGAATATTTACTGAAAAGCAAAAGACATTTAATCTGTTTTGCTTTTAAATAGATGATTGCAGTAGCGCGCTCCGGGGTAAAGTGAGCATGTACCCGTGTTCCTGTGGAACGTGGCTGTGTACTGCGGGAGTTCGCTGGAGTGAGAGCTTTAAAAGTTGTCAGAAAGCAGAAGACATCTCGTCGTGGCCTTCTGGTGCTGGGCTGAGCGCGCAGCGTGCTGGTCGGCTTGTCCTCCCGCCCGTTCCCGGGTCGCCACCTCCGAGCACGCTGGCGGCCTGCGAGCTCTGGCAGGCTTGCAGAGGCGCGTGGCTCGCGGCAGCGTCTGCGATGCCGGCGTGGGAGCGTGCCTGATGGCAGCACGCTGGTGACAGTGGGCTGCGCTGCCTGGAAGTCTCTAATTGAGTGGTGAAGATTCTTCCCGTTGAAGTTCTGCTTTGCTCCTGAACAGATCCCCCGGCAGCTTCCTAAGCCACTGAATTAAGGTTTGGTTTGCAAACCAGCGTGTTTATTTTTAAAATGGGCTCTACCAATATGTTCTCATTATGGGAGGCTTTGATATTGTTCTCTCTCCAACTGCTTTCCAAATCAATGTGCTGGGAGGTTGTTTTGCCCTCCAGGGAAGAGATTTCCAGAGAAGAGCAAAACTGAAAGGCAAGAGATTACTTTGTGGATGTTTGCTTAATGGTCTGTTTTGAAATGGTCTTGAACGAACTTGACCTAACATGCAGTTAGCATTTAAATACGATTTAATTTGTTGAGGGAGGAGGGATCTGGGGTAAGGAGTTCTGGATTAGAGGCCGGAGTTCTGGGATTGTTGTCTGGTGGGAATCTTTTTCTTTACGATGGCTTTCTATGGCTTTGTAATGGAGAAGAGAGATGGGTAATGTTTCTGTAGCTGCTGTTTCTCCTTGGCCTAACGCCAAGTTAGTTAAAATTCAATAATTGCTAATAGCACTTAAAAAGAATGCTTAACATACAGATAGTAACAAGTTACAGGAATTCAGCCGTCAACTCTGAGTCTCCTGCAGCTTGTACGTGGTTCGCCTCTCTGAAGCTATAGCTGCGTGCTGTTTTTATTTTTTGAGTTGTGGTTCTCGAACTTCAGTCCTTACAGATGACAAACATGAGAGAGGCACCTCCACGTACTTGAAAAACGTTTGTTTGGAGTCAACTCAAGTGAGCTTTGAAAACAAAACCTGGGATGGAGTTGGTGTTGGTGAGACAAGAACCTCACCACTGCAGAAATACAGCATGCAAGTTCAGAAAGCGCGAGGAATGTCTGCAAGCCCTGTTACAGTTATGCTTAGTGAAAATCTGCTGGTGAAACTCCTCTAAACCTAATGTATTGCTGCAAGAAGAACGCGACCGGGAGGTTATCCAGTTTTGGGAGAGGGCGGACTGGCGAGGGGTGGAGCAAGGCCTTCTTGGGGCCCTTCTGACTGTGCGGGTTGTGCAGCTTTGGGTGTTGTAGGTGCAGGCAGAGCTGGGCAGGTGGGGCTCCTTGCTCTGAGCGTGCTGCACGAACGCATTTCCAAAACTCTGGTGTTTCATTTGCTGCGAGTGCGAGCATCGCTTTGTCTTATTCTACCTCTATTTGTGCGTTCCTTTACTGCCTTGCAGGATTGAGTTCTCTGTGGTTTCAGCTGAAGTAAAAAGTGGCAATTTCCATTGCCGTTGTTCTTTTTTTATGCTCGTACATAGAAGGTTTCAATTTTTGTATGATTTGACACCTTTCTGTTTACAGTTGTTTCAAAATGAGATCTTGCCTTGAACATCTGGGAAATGGAAATTTTCTAGCCACGCAACTGAAATATTGTCACACCCTTTGGGTGCTTGTGGGGGACGGTAATTCACCCATGAGAGGGGTCACGGCAGCGTCCCTCCGGGACGCTGTTCTGCTGCCTTCAGAGCGATACCACGATGACTTGACATCCAAGTTGTAGTTGTTTTGAATTCTCTGCAGAATGGTTTCACTTACCATTGATACCTCATAAACATCTGGAGAGGGTTTTAATGCTTCGGCTTATTGCTCATAAATAGCTCTAATTGTAAAGAAATCCAAACTATGTTGTCGTTCAGAGCTGGAATGTGAAGTTCAAGAAA